TTGGTGCCAGGTCCTCTTAATTTCGGCTCAGTCAAAAGGAATATCCTACAGTCACGCGGTTTCACAAACAAAGATAAACACTTACGACACCAAGAGAGAATTTTCGGGGAAAAGAAAGGCAACCTCTACGTCGCAGTCTCACGTTCGAGATTGTATCTTTCTTAACACCATCCTAAAGTATTCTATGGCGATTCAGGTCCGGCAGCATGGCTATGTGTGCAACAATGTAGTGCTAAAACATTTAAAGCATGCACAACAGTTTATAAACAAATGAAACTTCAAGAGTTCGAAAAAAAAACATTCATTCTCAAACCCCAAACCTGCAAAACAAGGGGTCAACAATCGCTCATCACCTTATAACTCCCAATTGCAAGAACATTCACATTAGGAGCATAATTGAACAAGATAAACGGCCTAAGTCCACTAAGAATTCTATTCAAGTCCCTAGCGGAGTCGCCAAGCTGTCGCGACCTCCCCGAACTGACTCTCGCCACCTAAGGGGTTTGGCTAATGAATTACTAAGTTAAACCTAGCTCGAGCTCTCCCAAACCCATATCAATTCGCGACTTAGATTTAAGTTATTAACATGCAAATTAATTTTATCTAGAAGTCGCCACTAATCAGTTTTTGGTGGGTCGATTAGACACCCAAGTAAAGCATGTGAGAAATGCTTCACTTCTACAAATTAGAGATTCAATGGGTACGGGGACTTGATTACACTAATTGATCAACTAGTGCCCTTTCGGTACCTAACCTTGTTCAATTACCGCCTAACGTGTTCACACTAATTAGGAGTCTCAAAATTCGATTCCTAATCGAACTAGGGTAAGCAATAATCAACTCAAGAACCTAACATGCCCAATCAACTACGTGCGAGATTAAATCAAACGCGCAATTCGAAGTGTGTGAACCAAGCAACGTGCAATCAAACATGACACTAATCACACAATAGGGCAAGAAAAACCAATTCCAAAGTCCAAATAATATTTTTTTATTTTTCGAAATTTTTTAATTTTTTTAATTTTAATTTTTTTTCGAAATTTTTTTAATGTTAAAATAATATAAAACGGACCCGGGTTGGAGCCAACCCGGGCGCGCCGGCCCAGGTCCACCGTGAGGTGGGCTCCATGAGGGCCCAATTCAGAATAAACCCACAATTCAAATAAAAAACAAAACACCCAAGCCCACTAGGAAAAAAAAAATTAACTAACAATTTAGCTCAATTCCCAAATTCGGCCCACCCACGAAAGGTCGAAAACCTAAAAGACCTATCCCAGGTTCTACTAAAAGGCCCAAAACTAAATAAAACCTAATAGGCTTAAAACTGGCCCAAATACCAAACCCTACCCGATTGCGACCCGTGCACCCGACCCGGTCACCGGCCGCCGACCCGACTTACCTGAAACCCTAACGCTCGCGACCCGAATGCTCGACCCGGTTCACGGCCGTTGACCCGACTCGCCTGGACGACCTAGCGCTCGCGACCTGCCGCGCCTCCTGCCACCGCCTTCGCCGTGTCTACGCCACGCCTACCGCGGCCGCTCGCCTCTGACGCCGAGCCGTCTCTTTTCACGTCGCAGCTGCGGTGACTGGCGACTGAACCCGAACCGACCGCCGCCGACCTGACTCGCGCAAGCTTGTCGTCGTCGCACCGGCCATGGTGGGCTCGAATGCCGACCCCTCCAATGCTGCTACGCCTCGTGCCTACTGTGGCCAGCTCGGATGCCAGCCCTTCAACCTGTGTCGCGGACGACCTTGAATCGGCGACCGTACCTACGCCGACCGGGCTCCGACGCTTCCCTGCCGCTCGTCTCTACTTCAATGGAGACAATCGGAGAGAGAGAGAGAGCTACCGCTCGTCTCGGTCCGGCCGAGGGCGCCCCCAATGGTGCTCTAGGTTGCTCAGTCGGGCCTCTCGGCTTCGTCCTTGCCCGACACTTCACCTGCCCGCGACTCCCACGGCCGGCCCGAACGCCGATCCCTGCACCGACTCGGCCGCAAAGCCTCACCAGCCCGCGGCCATGTGCTCGCCCAAGCCGCCGCCTCGCTTGTCGCGACCGGCCGAGCCCCGGCGCCTCGCCCGTCGCTTACACTCGGTCTCAATCTCTGTCCGAACTCTCTCTTGCTGTTGCTCTCTCTATCCTTCCGGTCCCCCTCCCCCTCTCAGTTCTCTCTCTGATTTAAGGCCGGCCATCAGGCAGGCGCGCATGGCCCCTGCCACCACTAGCCTGCCGTGGCCGGTCTGATCTCGACCCAAGGATCACGATGACATGCCCCGCGCCTCTCTGGCTTCTGCTTCTTCTCCTCCCTATTCGGTCTCATCTCTCCCCCGTACCAGCGACATTGGGGGAGAGAAGATGAATAGTCGCAGGCCGGGCCAAGGGGAAAAGGGGCCGGCCCGCGCGGGAAAATAAGAAAAAGAAAATGAAGAATGGGCCGCGTGAAGATAAAAAGAATATAAGAAGGATGGGCCGACTGACTTGGCCCGGAAACCCTTTTTTTTTATATGTTCTAATAGACCCTATTAATGCAAATGCACCTAATGTCTATATGCCATGCAATTTTGATGAAAATATTTTGGTTTAGGGGTTAAAAATTAAATCCTAATTTTCTATGCAATTAAACTCTAAATGATTATGCAAAATTTAAGTGTCAACAATGATTATGTAACTACTAGATTAGATAAAATTAATTTTTCTATTAGCGGTAGTGCTCGATTTATCAATGATTTCACTTTAAATCTAATGGTGGCCCACTCTCAGGGTCAATACAGTTGGCTAGCGTATCGAAGGAATTCCAGTTCAGAAACTGAAGGTCAAAGTTAGAAGAGCAGCTAGCAAAGCAAATGATATATTGTACACTAAATCAAAATAAATCATTGAGAGCATGGATAGTAAAATCATTGCATTGATTGGAGCAGTAACAAGTAATAACCCATCCGTTATGCTTATCAAAATCTGCAAATCTTATGCCACAGATCAGGATGTGACCCTCAGATGAGATAGCAAGCTTTTCCTTGAGCATCGTCATTACAGAACTTGATCTATTCGGCTAAAGTCGTGCACGTGCCTCATTGAAGGCTGCGTCGGATGCGATGAGCACTAGCAGTATAATGCTTTCGTAAAAAGAGCAATGTTGGCATTTAATGACAACTCATCCTGACCAATCTGATGTTGCACAAGTTGATCTCATCGGCGCCGCTGGTTCTACTAAATTGTTTCTCGAGTTTTAGTCATGTACCGAACTTGACCCATTGGAATATTTTGATTTGTTCAAAATTTGATGTGTCTTGAAGTTTGATTGCGAGAAGCTCTGCCACTAGAAGACAAAATAAAGGGCACTCTTATTTTATAAAATATATATCTCCGCGATCAAACAAGTGGACTCATGTGCCTTTTATATATGGACGTACAAAAAGAAGCAAGTGGGGCCAAGTGAAAAGAAAGAAAAGTAAAAAATAAAAAAAAAGAAAGGTTATACCTTTTCCATCTTCTTCTTTTTTGTAGTCGAAAAGCTAAGGATGCTTAGGGTTCCTTGAGTAAAGTGCACATGAGCTGCCAGGACAGAAGGAGCCGCTCAAGAAAAGAGAAGGAAGACGTGTGTTCCTTTCGAGAAGTGGAGCCGCGCGAAGAAGAGAGAGAACGCATGACGTTCTTCGTTTTCGGCAACACAAATGTAAACACGATAATTTATGCTGTAAATTTTACATCAAAATGAGTTGCTTATTTATAAACAATTTGGGTTTTGGCTTAATCTAGATGTGGAAAATAATTGACTGTGTGTGAACAATTATAACTTGGAACAGATTATAGTAGATTATTTGTTACTGATTTTCTCTATGAATATAGTTATTGATACTCGGACCAAAGATCTCCTTTACTGTTCCTCGTTCATTTCTTCGATGATTTTGCATTCACTTAAATTGTAAGATCCAATTAGCGCTTCCATGTCCATATCACAACAATTGATATTAATTAATGCCTTAGGATAGGATTTTCTGGATTTTGATTTGGAGTTTTTGCTTGTGTGATTATTATCTAGAAATTATGTTGCTGCAATTATGTCTGAAGTGAAAGTTGATATTGAAAGGAATAACTTTAGGTTGTGGAACGTTAAGATAGAGGCGCTATTAATAACTCAAGGTTTGGCCGAAGCATTGGAGGGCAATGATAAGTTGCCTGAAACAATAAAATGTGCGAAAAAGGACGTGATAATGAGGAAGGCAAGGAGTATAATCCTGTTGAAGCTGTCAGATGAGGTGTTACTAGAGGTAGTCGAGGAGAAAGATGTCCCAACATTGTGAGCAAAACTTCAGGCACTTTATGTAACAAAGGGTTTGAACAATCCCTTGTACATGTTGAAAATGATAGTTCAGTTTAGATATACTTAATATATGTCTATCAAATTTCACTTAGATAAGTTTAATAAACTCATGATGGATTTACAGAATATCGATAAGATTCTAGATGATGAAGAGGAGGGCATGATATTGTTAACTTCTTTATCAGAGTCATGGGAACACATTATTGATTCACTGCTACATGGGCGCACTACGATTACCTCAGAAGTAGTAAAGTCTGTTTTGTTATCTAAGAAGTGGTAGAGAAAGTTGTGAAATGACAGTCTAGCACAGGATGTAGCATGGGGACTAGTGATTCGAGGTACGATGATGGACAAGTAATTCGCGCCAAGCAAACGGCATGACAAGAAATCAAGATAATAGTCAAGCTGGTTCGACCAATCAACATACTTCTATTACACTAAAAGAAACTTAATCAATCAAATAAAAGTTTATTCGTCTACCTTCCACATTACATGTGGACTTACAACGTGCACACACAAAATTATATATTTCACGAATCACATGCGAACAACTATATAATAGAATCGTGCATTTCAATGCCTTCATGAAATATTCAATCAATTCATATTGAAGCTGTCTACTTAGGGGACGCATATTCTAAAATGTCATGCTGTTGACTAAAAAGACCCATCTTGTCTTAAGTCAAGCTCACCCACGCCTCAACTCCGCCTTCAGCTTTCTGGTGATCCATCAACATGACCGAGTCAAACGGAGCGCATAAGCTACTCACAAACTCAGGCTCACCCCAACCCAAATCAACCTGGTGCACCGGAAACCGACACCAGCTGTTGAAGATGAGCATGTCGACATCGCCTTTCCTCCGTTCTTCTTGATACTCTCCCGCCAAGTTCATCACCATCTCGGCCAAATCCGTCCCGTCTATCGCATTCGCTACTTTAGCAAGCGAGGTTGTCATCGCATCTTGCACCAAACCCACCAAGCCGTGTAGCCCAAGCTCGGTCACTTCGGCTGTGGACTTCCCGCTCACCACTGTGTAGAAATTGCCGCACAAATTATCGTGCGATACGAGATCTGTCCTTCCGCGCAAGTTCACCATGTGCGAAATGAGGAACGGCTTGGACTGCCCATTTTTTAGCTTGGCAATTTTCAAGAGAGCAATGGAAACGAGCGCCGTAACCAGCTCCACACGAGAGGGTTCCCTTTCGAAATCGAAACCACCGCTCCTTGCAATGGCTTTGAGTTTCAAGATGGATTGGCTGTCGAACACGAATCTTTTCATGACGTATTTCGCACCTGGCATTAGTCTGGCGGGAGGCTCGAGCTTGGGCAAGTCTCTTGGCGGTAAAATAGATGATAGATCTAGACATGGCCACGGGCCAGTTTCGGCGCCCGGGTCAAACCCGGGACCGGCCCGTTGACCGGGCCCACGGTTCGGAACCGGAACCGGCCCGTGGCCTACGGGCCCGGTTCCAGTTCCAACAATTTTGGAACAGGTCCAAAAAAAAAAACTGCAGCAGGGCCTGCACGAGAGTGGGATATTTGCAAAATTTTTTTTAGATATTTTAAAGGTTTTTAATTATGCAACTTATACTTTGTCCGATGTTTATTATCCTACTACGCATTTATTTTTTGTAAAGTGTATTAATATTGTCGGAGTTTTTGAGGAATATGAAAATGATGTTGAATTACAAAATACTATAGTAACAATGAGAATGAAGTGGCTACATTATTGTAGCGAAATTCCCATTATTTATTTAGTTGCTTGTGTTTTTTATCCACGTTACAAATTAGATGGCTTAGGTGATTATTTGCATATGTATTATCAATGTTTACATTATAATACGGTAGATGTTACAAACATACTAAGGAGGTTAAAAACGTAGTAATAGAATTATATAATGAATTTTGTACTAAGGGAGGTGATATTAGATCTTCTCAATCTACCGAGACATAAAGTGAGAGTACAGGTAAAATTAGTAAAGGGTACCAACTTTTATTACATAGACAAAAAATGCAGAAGGGAGTAATAGGAAACATTTCTGAATTAGAGATATATCTAACCGTTTCCTTTGAGTTTTCTGAATCTGAAGGTAGTACAGGTTTTTTAATTTTGGATTGGTGGAAGAGGCACGCAAGCTAATACTCAATCCTTTCTCTTATTGCAAAATAAATTTTTGCAACCCCATGTTCGACAGTTGTGGTCGAACAAGCATTCAGTGCCGGAGGTAATATTTTGGATGAACAACGTTCAAGATTAGTTCCGGAATCAGTGGAGGCTGAAGCTTGCGTCGATGATTGGACGAAGACTTAATATCGACAACAAGAGATAGATCAGAATAATGAATCCGAATTCTTTGACGACGAAGATACCACCACTACCGGTACCGGTACCGGAACGGGTAGCGACGACTGAGGATAAAAGAATTACATGGATTTTTTTTTTTTTTTTGGTAATCGAGGATCCGCCACCATTCCCCGAGGACGAGCCCGCACAGGTAATCGGGGCGCCTATACCTCGGGGGAGACTAGCCCAGCAACCCACCGCCAGGGCCCCCCACTTAAATTACGGAATCGAACGGGGATTTGAACCCAGAACCTCTTAGGAGGGAAGGAAAGCGCCCACCAACTCGAACCCAGAATTACATGGATTTTGATTCTTCTATTCCCAAGAAGATATGTAAGGCGCTTAATGATAATTCATTAAGTTCAAGCCCCATCTCTTTCTCTCTTTTTTTCCCCAAATTTGCTTACAATGTACATTTTGATTACATTTTATATTGAATAATTCATTATTTTTTTATTTCATAATTTTTTTTTAAATTTTTACCGGCCGATTCCAAACCGGGCCGGAACCGGAACCGGCCCGGAACCGGAACCGCCCCTGTTCCGAACCGTGGCCATGTCTAGATAGATCGAAGCACAGATGGATCGCCTCGTGAACACTTCCGCGACATGCCATCGCCCACGTGCTCAGGAAGGACGATACAGTGTGCATGTCAGCAATCTTGTGCGAGATGCGCAGGCCGACCGCCATGCCGCCACAAGTGAACGTGGTCATTTGGACAACCACTAGAGGCGGCGCAATCTGGTCCACCGGATGAGGTTGAGTTGCCAAATGACCGAGGACATCATCGGGGTCAGTTTCTCCATGGAGAAATTGATCGAGAGTGCCATCAGCTTTGGCTTCCAAGAACTCCACCCTTTGGTCGTCCCATTCGACCAAGCATCTCTCTTCGACGTATCGCCCCGCAAGAGGGTAAAAGAGGGTTAGGGTTTCCGCGAGCGCTTTCTCGAGCAGCCGAGATCTTTTGCTAATAGGTACGAATGAAGGGTCGCGTACATCCTTTTTGGATGAGTAGAAGAGAGTGACATCAACATAAGCTGGAGACTGAAGCTGATCAATTAGAGAGATTTTTAGCTTGCGAAGGCTGTCAACTGCTGGAGCTGAGGGTTTGATCAACTTCTTGCTCTCTATCTCAATCTTCATTTTTTTTTCCTAAGTTGCCTTCGCTATTGCGCCTTTACCTACTCGCGATTATCACCCTCTTTATAGAGTTGGATCTCACAAACCCTTTCCACTGGAATAAATTAATAATGAAGATTTTTTACCAAATAATATATTAGTACTAAGCATGGACATATTTAATTTGGAAGGCAAATGGAGCCTGAAATGATATACCACAAAGAAAATAAAGAATTGAGTCGATGAAGCGTTACTTTTCACTGATATATTGGACAGTATAAATAGAAATATCATCATCTATAATATGGTATAACTTAAAGATAAAATATACAATTTGATTTACAATGAGATTGAATAAAAGACAAATCAGAAAAGATCTCCAAATAATCAATATGTTATCTTTATGCTGATTTGTAAAAGATTCTGCACTGCAATTGATTTTTTACTTTTGGATTTGTTACTTAAATAGTTCATAAAAGATGTTATGTATTAAACATGTTAAACACATCGTGTCGTGTCCTGCGGCCTATTTGATACACTTGTCGTTTTGGGAATTAAGAATCTGAAATGATTATTAACTGTCTCGGGCTCGAATTAAATCTAAATCTAATGCAACGAGATTATATAATACGATAAGATTATGACACAAAGACACCAATTGCTAGCCTAGCTGACCTCTTCCTCTAGATAGTCATTGAACCATTTTTTAATCAACTTGGACATTTATCTAAGCCTAATAGGGCATCACGATTAATCATCTCGTGTTACACAATGGTTCACTAGTCGTAGATCACTAAACAAATGATACCATCAGTCCACTGACTTCATCGTACAATATGGTGGTTCTCTTCGGACCAATAAAAAGTGAGCAAATAAATAATATATGGGGTGTTCTTATCAAGCCACTAATCAGTCATTTTGATTACTTTCGTTTTGTTCAGCACTTGAATTTGATAAGTCCCGGATTTTTTTGAAGTGATCCTGCAATCACATAAATTTTGCAATCAAGCAGCTGAATTTGTAGAATTTGTTCGGTCAAAGTCCCTCGGCAAATTGAAACTGACATATGTGCTAACGTAGGTCAAAAGTATGCTGTGCGAAAAATCGGTACGATGATGGACGAGTAATTCGCACCAATCAAACTGCATGACAAGAAACCAAGATAATAGTCAAGCAAACCTCAATGGCTTTTCATGCTAGTGGCACTATATTATTACAACAAAGGCTAAGGTAAAGCTGGTTAGACCCAGATTGACCTAATTTTTGCAAGCGAGAATTTCTTTCATTTTCCCTAATATAATCAACATACTTCTATTACACTCAAAAACTCCATCGATCAAATAAAAGTTTATTCGTCTACCCTCCACATTACATGTGGACTTACAATGTTGCATACATAAAATTATTTGGTCCACTGGTCACATGCGGACAACTATATGATGGGATCGTGCTGTCTACTTAGGGGAAGCGTATTCCAACATGTCGTGTTGCTGACGGAAAAGATCCATTTCGGCTTCAGTCAGGCTCACCCCCGCCACAACTCCGCCATCATCGCCGCCACCTTTCTTATGATCCATCAACACGACCGAGTCAAACGGAGTGCATAAGCCACTCACAAACTCAGGCTCACCCCAACCCAAATCAACCCAGTGCAGCGGAAACCGGCACCAACTGGTGAAAAAGAGCACGTCGGCACCGCCCTTTCGTAGTTCCTCTTGATACTCTCCCGCCAAGTTCATCACCATCTCGGCCAAATCCTCCCCGTCTATTGCATTTGCTAATTTAGCAAGCGAGGTTGTTATCGCATCTCGCATCAAAATTTACCAAGCCATGTAGCCCGAGCTCAGTCGCCTCGGCCGTGGACTTCCAGTGCACCACTGTGTAGACATTGCCGCACAAATTATCGTGCAATAGGAGATCCGTCCTTCCTCACAAGTTCGCCATGTGCAAAATGAGGACTGGCTTGGATTGCCCATTTTTCAGCTTGGCAATTTTCAAGAGAGCAATGGAAACGAGCGCCGTGACCAGTTCCACACGAGAGGGTTCCTTTCGGAATCGAATCCCCTGCTCCGGGGAATGGCTTTGAGTTTCGAGATGGATTGGCTGTTGAACACTGTCGCGACCTAAATTTCTCGAGCTAATGGATTATTAAGTCTAAGCTTAACTCGGGCCCTCCCAAGCCCTACCAATTCACAACTCAGGGTTTAAGTTTTTTTTTAACATGCAAAAGTTTTTCATGCTTGGAGTCGCCACTAATCTATTTGTGGTAGGTCGATTAGAAACCTAAATAAAACATAGGGAGATATATTTTATTCCTACGAACCAGAGATTCTAAGCTCGGGGACTTGATTACGCTAGATCTAGTCTAATGCCCTTTCGGTATCTTTTCTTTTCAAAAAATGTCTATGTAGGCAGTCTGAATCCATTTTATTACGTAATCACTAACATGTGATGTGTTCATGCGAGTGCGCAAATCACCAATTTAACACCCAAGAAAGCAATAAATAAATTGCAAGATTAGGAGAATGACGTACCTTAGAGCAACGCAAGCATCTGCATTGTTAGTAGAAAATCACACAGACAATCCTAATATGATTTCTAATTAACAAAGTAAGGCACTCAAGATGTTCTTTAGGTTTTGCGCTTTATTAAAATGCAAACTAACCTATATGCAATGACGTGCAAAAAATGACATGCGATTAATGCAACCTAGCATGCGAACTATATGTCATGCGACGACGTGACCTAATTCTAATGACGGACAAATGATTTATTTTTGGTATTTTTCCAATGAAATTCGAAATTAAAAAAATGTCTAAAATAACACGCAATCTAACAACTTCTTTTTTTGATATTTTTTATTAAAATTCGAAATTAAAAGTTACTCAAATTAAGAATGCAATATATCCCAATCTATCCTAAAGTAACTCATTGTTTTGGGATTTTCATGGAAATTCGGAAATCTTAAAATAACCTAAATAATATATTAGGATTAGAATAACACCTAATTTAAACTAGGAAATAAACTATCTCAAGTCCTAATTTAAATTAAACAATTATCCTATCTTCTAGATACATTTAGGGTTCCCTAAACATACAAAACTTCTAATTTAAATCCTAACTAACATATTTTTGAATTTTCTTTATTTAAAAAAAACAATCAAACAAAGATAACAACTGCATTCAAACAATTCACACAATCCGCAAGATTCTTCTTATCAAATTTGAATTAGGAAAAGAAATCAAATTAACAGTCATATCTATAGGGTTATAGATATCGACGGAAAACTGATTATTCGAATTTAGAAAGCGAATAAAATCTATTATCGTATCCAAGTGATTATGGATAAGATAATGATTTTAAGTATCGCCGCATATCGTACCTTATGGATAAAGTCGGATAGTCGTCCAGATACGTTGCCAAATTAGGAATAATTCCTAATTTTGAGTGTTTTAGAATATTGCGGATAGAGCAAACAATATCCCTAAGATTTAGCAATCCACCAAATATTCACAGAATATTTAAAACACCTAAACTAGGAATTTAAAATATTCTAAAAAAATATTGGATATCGATCATACCTAATTTGATGGATATTTCCAATTCGAACTTGGATCGGACTCAGGCTTGCGGATCGGGATGGTGACCAACGGTGGGTGACCGGTGACAGGCGGTCGACAGCGAATGCGGTGGTGGCGGCAATGCGGTGGTGGCGGCAATGCGGTGCTTCACGGTGTGGTGCTCGACAGCGGTGAAAGAGTGCGGCTATTGAGCTTGGTGAGCTTTGAGCCACCAAGTCAGATGCGAACTTTTAATGTGCAAATCTCTTCGTGAGTTGATGTGTCCGACTCTCCACTGAAAACTTTGACCGAGCAATCCTCTTTGGCCACTTCTATATCTCAATGGAAATAAGAAAGTGGAGTCTTCTGCATGTGTTGAAAACATGGGAATAACTGCAAGAACATGCCAAAAGGTATGCAAAAAGGGCCCGACACACAAAGATCTAATCTGAAATTTTTGATGGCTTGTTGGTGTTGTCGGCAACGTAATGAGCAGCGCCTAGTATCAGGAATGCTCCGCGGGGTTGAGATCTCGGTACAGCAAACGACGCTCTGTGGCTTCATCGTCAGAGGGCTGGTTCAACGTCGCTGTGCGGGGACTTCTCGGTGATGCAGGCTTGAACGGAGCACGGGCACCTGCGGCGGCTGCAGTGGAACGGAGCAAACGTGGCAGAGCAGCAGCAGCAAGGCGACGGGCAGTGGCCGCGAGCAGTGCGTATTCGGCATGGGGGCAGCGGCGCGGTGAAGGGAGGCAGCGCAGGAGCACCCGCGGTGGTGGCTGGTGCGACGGCGGGAAAGCAGCAGCATGGCACGTGCGGCCGTCTTCTCCTCTCGCTTTCAATCTCACGTGTTTCTCGTACTCTCAAGGATTGTCTTCTAGGAATTATAAGAGCTCCCTTGATTATGACGCATAACGACATATTTATATCGCATACCTAGGTTAATTGACTAGGCTTTCTAATCCTAGTGGGCTTCAGCTTAGGCTTTATCATCTAATTTTATTTTAATTCTGAATGGGTTCAATTAATTTGAGCTTTTCTCTAATTAAGCTCAATGGGCTAATTGAGCTCAAAATAAGACAACCAAGACCCATTGCCCCATCCTCTGAATGAGCGGAATTTCGTTCGGCGCTCGAGCTCGGTTTACACGATGAATTTTCAGCTTACTTGCCACCACTGGTTCGATGTGGAATGCAATTAACCTAATATGAACCTAAACTATATGCTATGCAATTTTAATATTTTTGTTTAGGGGTTAAAATTTAATCTATAATTTTCTATGCAATTAATCACTAAATGGTTAATCAAAATTTAGGTGTCAACAAACACGAATCTTGTCATGACGTGTTTCGCACCTGGCATTAGTATGGCGGGAGGCTCGAGCTTGGGCAAGTCTCTTGGAGGTAAAATGGATGATAGATCGAAGCGCGGACGGATTGCCTTGTGAATGCTTCCGCAACATGCCATCGCCCATGTGCTCAGGAAGAACGACATCGTGTGCATGTCAGCAAACCTGTGCGCAAAGTGCAGGCCGACCGCGATTCCACCACAAGTGAACGTGCTCATTTGGACAACCACTAGAAGTGGCGCAATCTGGTCCGGATGAGGTTGAGTTGCCAAATGATCGAGGACATCGTCGGGGTCAGTTTCTCCATGGAGAATCCAGAGTGCCATCAGCTTTGGCTTCCAAGAGCTCCACTCCTTGGTCTTCACATTCAACCAAGCACTTATCTTCGATGTATAGGCCCGCAAGAGGGTAAAAGAGGGTTAGGGTTTCCGCGAGCGCTTTCTCGAGCAGCCGAAATCTTTCGCTAATAGGTACAAATGAAGGGTCGCGTACATCCTTTTTGGATGAGCAGAAGAGAATGACACTAACATAAACTGGTGGCTGAAGCTGATCAATAAGAGAGATTTTTTAGCTTGCGAAGGTGATGAGCTGTTGGAGCTGAGGGTTTGATCGACTTCTTGCTCTTTATCTCAATCTTCATTTGCTTTTTTTCCTAAGTTGCCTTCACTATTGTGCCTTTACTTACCCGCGATTATCACCCTCTTTATAGAGTTGGATCTCTCAAACCCTTTCCGCTAGAATAAATTAATAATAAAAAATTTTACCAAAGAATATATTAGTTCATACAAGTCATAACAAGTGACATTTCCGCCGAGTTTCATGCATAGAATCATTAAAAGTGTAAGGATGCTAAAAATTAGTTCGGCGTCGGAGCCGACAGCTTGATCAGTTTCCTTCTTTGTACTTCGACCTTCATACTTGAAATCTCTTCCAGCCACTCCATTATTCCCCCAACAAATTTGGAATTTCCTTTTTTGGTGGGTTGAAGATTGGTTAGATAGATACTTGTTAGGCAATGATCCATTTATAACTAAACTCCAAGATGAATCTTTCAAAAATCTAGACTATGGGAGGTAGTAAGTGGTTGTGATAATGAAGAGAGAGCCCCACACTAGAGGTTGTGATCAAAAGAGAGCCCACGAGAGTATGTCGGTCTGAATGAAAGTACCTTTAACGGTGAGCGACAGCGTAGACAGTGTTTCGACCAGGCGATGATGCCCCCTTAGAGAAAAGTACTTCCATGTGCAATTTCCATCATAGTACTGTTCCTTTCATCGTGTTTCATGTTGCTCTCGTCTTCGCCTTGTATTATTTGTTGATGTTGGGTTTTATATGATGACAGCACCAGAAGAAAATTTCGAATTTTCTCGAAAATCAGATGCTAATGATAATCTATTTTAGTGATAAGCTTGATGGACGGAGGTAATGCGTAAAGAAGCCTAAAGCGCCCCAAAAGAGGAGGTGTAGATGGTTTCACCTTCTGCGGAAGCAGGCATGTATACAAGACCACTTGTGTACTCGCTAAGGGGGTCGCAAGTGGTGTTGTATATATGCCTGGTTCCGCGGAAGGTGAGGGCGTCTAGATTTCCTGCTTTTGGCATGCCTTAGGTCTCTGCGCATTACCGATTCCTCAAGCCTGTGAGCTTAGATATAAAGAGTAGAATCGTGATGACAATAACAAGAGAGTGATAAAGTAACAACTAGATTAGATCAAAAATGATATTACTATCAGCGGCAGTACTTGATTTAAATGCAATGAATCAATGATCTCACTTAAATCTAATGGTGGCCAACTGTCAGGGTTGACGCAGTCGGCTACGGGGGATCAAAGGAACTCCAGTTCATGAACTAGAGGTCAAAGTGAGCAGCAGAGCAAATGATATACTGTGCACTTAATCAGAACAATTTATTGGAGTATTAACAAGCAATAACGGAACAAGGACACCACAAGTGCCAAAACTTATGTACGGTGCTCACTTTAGTGCCAAAAGTTTCTGTTGAATCACTTAAGTGCCAAACTTTTTGAAAAACGATCACTTAAGTGCCAACTCCGGTCAGTTTGGTCGTAAATCCGATGTGGCATTTTTTTATTAATTTCTGAAGTCAATGTGGCTCGCCGGAGGCTTAGTCAGCATGTATAGTCAGCATTTTTTATTTTAAATAATTTTTTTTCTTTTTTCCTTTCCTTTCTTTTTTTGTCTTCTTCTTTCTTTTTTTCCTTTTCTGATCTACGGGCCGGTTGCCGGTGGCCGGGCCGACCACTAGCAAAGCCCGAGAAGGGCTGGGCGAGGGCCTCGCCGGCGACAAGCGAGGCCGCCCCTCGCCGGCCATGGGCTAAGCCGGCCTAGCCAGCTGCCGGCGAGGGATGGCCTCGCCAGATCTAGGCGAGGCGGTCCTCGCCGGCGACAGGCGAGGCCGTCCCTCGCCGGCAGCTGGCGAGGCCGACCTCGCCCATGGCCGGCGAGGGGTGGCCTGGCCTGTCGCCGGCGAGGTTCGCCTTGCCCATGGCCGGCAAGGGACTGCCTCGCCTATCGCTAGAGAGGCCCTCGCCCAGCCCTTCCCGGGCTTCGCCGGTGGTCGGCCCAGCCACCGGCAACCAGCCGATAGATCTAAAAAGGAAAAAAAGAAAAGAAAGGAAAAAATAAAATTATTTAAAATAAAAAATGTTGACTAAGCCTCCGGCGAGCCACATCGGTTTCAGAAATTAATAAAAAAAATGCCACGTCGAATTTCCGGCCAAATTGACCGAAGTTGGCACTTAAGTGATCATTTTTCAAAAAGTTTGGCACTTAAGTAATTCGGTAGAAACTTTTGGCATTAAAGTAAGCGCCATACATAAGTTTTGACACTTGTAGTGTCCTTATTCCTTGAAATCTGTTATGCTCATTGAAATCTGCAAATCTTGTGCCACAGATCAGGAAGGGACCCTCAGATGAGATACCAAGCTTTTCCTTGAGCATCATCATTCCAGAACTTGATTTATTCAGGTAAAGTCGCGCACGCGCCTCAATGCGGATGCAATCAGCACTAGCAGTATAATACTTTCAAAAATAGAGCAACGTTGACATTTAACAACAACTGATCCTGACCGATCCGATGTTGCACAAGCTGGGCTCACTGTTCATGGTCTTTCCTTTGGCGGACTGTGATTGTACAAGGAGCACAAGCAAGCGCGCCATTAGTACACCCAATTAAGTCATATCCAATCAACCAAGTATGAAACTGGGCGTGCCGGTATGGAACATCGGTAGACACATAAGCTCAAGTGGTAATTGGCAGAAACATTCATCATGTTGACATTTTGGTGTAAGGATTGATTATAGAGGTTTACTCGTTTTCGGTTATGATAGAGTTGGAGCAAGAAAAATTGATTGGTGTAGCGGAAGCACCAGTCTCAGACATCATAAAGGGTTCTAAGTTCTAAGAGATCTTCATTGTATTGAATTACAAGAATTGATGCATGATATTGAATTACGGCAATACTGATCAGCCTGACACAGGTATCAGTCATAAATACTGTAAGTTTTACAGTATAACAAGTTTCAATGCATGATTAATCTTTGTCAGTGAGGATTACATCTGTCATACTTGACCGGATGCAAGAACAAAGCTCATTTCTTCTAGTCTCTTTGGAGACATTGAACAAAAGTCGGAGTACTGATCTCTCCCTATGTTAAAATATAGACCCAATTCAGGTCAGTTGGTTGTGTTAAGAACAGTGGAGAAATCAAAAACCGCAAAGCGAGATCTTATTGAAAACTTGATGAACTTTTCGAGTACATAAGTTCTAGTTGTCCTGCTTTTAGCCTAAATGGTAGAAGGATTCCGATTGAGTGAACCAGAGGCAATGTAGTAATGTCAGATTGGTTTTCCATCTAACCAACGAGTATAGAAATCCAATGATTCCCGCGGCTTGTATTGAGGGACCGTATGTCCCGCTCCCTGCACCGATGACAAGACGGTTATTATTAGCATCAGACAAGGAGATGACTAGTACAACGAGCGGCGCATGTGCAATTAGAAATGGATCGGCTTACATGCATTCCAGTAAAATAAAGAATAGAATTGCTTCTGAGCCTTAAAAGCGAAACCAAGGTTTTTATTTTTGGTATCAACTATCAAAAGGTCAGGATCTGTGAATTCGAACTTCAAATAACTCATTTCCAAACATCATACAAAATTAGTTCGTTAAGGATAAATTGAGCTTTTCTTTAGGATTTAGACAGACAAATTTTTTTTTTTTGTCCTGGACATTGAGGAAGAACTTTTGACATTGTTTTGTATACTCACATCTTTTATCCATAGAGATTAAGTATATATTATCAGCATTATTCTATCGCGTGGTACCACATTCCAGTTTGTTTTGACGGAGCAACCAAAATATGCAGAAAACAGCACATTCGTCATGATGATGTCGTGACCTTGTTCTAGTCTTTTTGGGTAACGAATTGTGAGTCATAAGATATGATTGGTATGAAAGTTCATTGGTTCCTGACCTTGATAGTCAGGAATGTGAGGTTGTGGTCATACCCTTGCAGATACCTGAAACAAGTTGGAAAAGCTTGTATGCTTAGAACAGTATAGCATAATCACCCACAATGGTATTGCATAGTAATTTGAATTTGTGGATGCGCTTAAAAGCGATGGAAAAAGAAAGAGCAGAGGATTTGTACATCACTCTGCCTATGAGTGAGCGATTTAGACATTTCTATTCTTTGACCATGAGTACTAGTCAGTAAGATCATACCTTGCAAGTGCTAAGTATTACTGCCAAAGACGGGATGAAGTAAGAACTTACCCAGCAACCTGCTCGTTGGAGATCCACGACCTCCATTCGTCAACAATTTTGTGTCCAAGTGACCTGGTCCAAGCTTGAGTGCCAGTGTAAGGTACGCGTGCATCATGGTCTCCACTGAGCACAGATAAATAACATCAATTAACAACAATTAAATGAAAAAGATGCGACCATTATATAAAGAATGAGGTAATGAACTTGTTGGACATCACTACACAACCTATTATGCATCTAAACAGCATCAAATAGGTTAATTGACAGGTTAAAGTTACACCAATCCTAGTAGGAGTGCCATGGCAAGAAGAGATATCTCAGTAATGCAGAGGGCATGAATATCACATTTCACCTGTATATAAGTGCCCTGTATCCCTCAGAAATCAAACTTTTGTGGTACGGGATCATACTTCCTGTATCAATGGTATAATTTATCCTCACTCTATTGGCGCATATCTCCCAAGGACCTGCCACACTTGCCTATTACACGCAAAATAAGCAAATGCCCGAAATAATTAGAAGCTCAACATTTCCTCAGCAAAGGAGAGGAAATAGTTCAACACTTTACTGGTGCTGCATGGATTGCTTCTCGAACTGCTTCGTCATTTAACCATGCAGTAGCCAAATCGTCATTCTGCAAACTCACAATTTAGAACATAATAAACGTAGTAGAAAACTAATGCTTCACTTTTCTCGACGAGAGAATGAGCACTGTTTTCGGGTCTCAGCTGACAGAAATTTGGGCTCACATCATAGCAGAAGAAACATCAGTCTTTTGTTAAGTCGATGTTTAATTCAAATCTCCATTTATTTATCTTAAATGTAACAAATAAAGGATGGCAACAGATTCGACTGAAAAAAAAAGCATAGCAACAGCGATTGAAGATTCTAGTTTTCTCAGATAGACTGAAAATGTCGCCGAGCTTACTTTTACAGTGCCCTGGAATTTGATTCTAACCCCCAGAAGAGAGTGGAAAAGCGATAGCAATTCAATCATGCATACTAAAAAGTCCGAATTACTCACAACGCATGGGATGTGAAACAAGTTCTCTGATTGGAGACTTGACGAGAGGGTGTTCTCTTTTTCTGATGGCCAAAGAAACATTCTTTTTCTCGTGTAGAGAGGCTTCTCAGTCGCCCCTAACTGATGGAGGCCAAAAGGCAGACTCATGACCTTGTCACCTGGGTAATGGTAGCACGGCTCGAGAATGTCATACCTATTTAAACCTGTCATAGCCTAGAAAGTAGCGGGAGAAAATGTCAATTTACTGGCCGAATCCCACTTGCAAATCTATTTGTGGATAGTATCGGTTCTATTGCTTTTAAAGCTAATAAACATGTTCCAAAGTACTGAGAAAGGACACCGTCGCACCGCGTAAACCTTGAGAACATTCTTTCGGCATTGGTCATTTGGGGGGTCATGAAACTTCCCTTTACATGTAGCCTGACAATCCTGCAGAATCAATTGTAAGCTCCTGCTAAACATACTTGTGGGACTTCGTGATGGCACAAGTCCACTAATTAGTGCTGGCTTCCCTGTTTAACCGACCTCAAAGATGTTGCTTGAGATCAGCGCCATACCGAATAAGAAAGGCACATGGCCATTGCCATCATATTCGTCATCTGCAATCCCATTACCAATGAGGTAACCCTGCAGCAAGGTACATTTTTTCATATTTAAAAAGTTCAGTCAGTCAAAGCCATCATCATGAAATTGGGTATTGCCCATGTCATTCAGCAGAGGATGAGAAGAGGAGATAGGTACCTTGAAATTGATAAGAGGCTTTTCACCTTTCTTAATTCCTGAAAGAGAAGTTCAATTGCAATTACTGACAAAACTCGACAAATGAACCTGGAATTTCGTTGAGTTTGCCGTACCTTCTACTACTTTGGAGGCAAGAGTTGGCACGTAAACTCCGGCATATGACTCTCCTGATATATAGAATGGATTTGAAAGGTGCTCTGGATAGAGCTCAAACCACTGAATCCAAAAACAAATAATTCAGCGGCTTAATATTGTAAGATTAAGACGAGTTCTTCAATACAATGGCTTATTTGCAGCTGCCCTATCTCTATCCTACTGGTTCCTTTCCTGTAAATTAACCCACTGACTTAAGCCTAACATATTCAGATTAGTGCCGGGCTTTGCAATGTTACCTTGAGAAGAAAGGCATGCGTATCAGAGGCAGTTTGAAGGTCTCCCGTCACATAATTGCGTGGATCGTCAGAGTATGATAAACCCACTCCACATGGAGAATCCAAATAGATAATGTTGGAGACCTGAAAAATGAGCAAGAGCACTTCCTTGTAGACCACAAAATACAATGAGTTACAAATTATACTACGCCGACATGCAATCCAGTAAGTGAATGGAAAGGTTCACAAAACAGAAATGATTTTACGGACCTTAGACCAGCTGAAGGGATTGAGCTGAAGTATAGGCAAGCTTCCGTTTGACTTTCCTGCTTTGAAATTAAATGGTCCTGCATATAGGTATGGACATGAAAAAGGGACCCTACAACATGTGACTGCAAAAACAGCATCACATCGGTTTGGTGCTTAATTCGAATACCATGTTCAAAAACAAAACCGTCCAAGCTGGAGCAACCAGGTCCTCCATTAAGCCACAGTACTACAGGGTCCTTGCTAGGATTCCTTTCGGACACGATGAAATAGTAGAACAAATTCTTCTTTCCAGGATTCCCCTCTATGGCCACATACCTGCAAATACCGAACACAGAATTCTCTTAGTCAAGTAAACGAGCCTGAGATCGAAATGACAGTTAGGACAATGGTGGAATATGTACCCTGCATAATGACTAGAGGGTAAAGTGCCATCAAAGCCCGGTACGTGAGTAACGAGGGATTCGTCAGGAGCTGCTCTGACAGCTAAAACAGTCAAAACCAAGCCTAGTATTACACCAGAAGTGAACCTGAAGACCGTCATAATTCCAAACAGATCATCAAAGTTCTCCGACTACGATCATAAGCTGTATTGTTACCAATTACTTATAGACGAGACAGGGCGGCACGAAGGTGACACGGTATTGAATGCGTTTGTGCTCGGAGGCGAGCGGAAGAGAATAACCGAAACACAAGGACATCCATTACAGTACATAAGACATGCAGAAAGAAAAATGGAAGGTGAAAGAGACAACCCAGAAGGGACGTACATATGCTTTTATGCAATCATTGACTAAAGAAATCCAATGTTGTGGACGAGATAAACTGGTGAAAACAATGAGGAAAGATACAAGACACAAACAGCAAGGAGACGGGACAAATATAAAGAGTGGTTGGAGATGCTCTGTGCAATCATTGGCATCACTCCCAGAGGAGTAATTCCAGGGGGCAATGCCCGAGTTGCATTCTAATTCGATAACCCGTGACATTTGAGTCAGGTCTGTTTCATCCAGCACTAACAGAGAAAGATTGATGTGAGACCTCAAGTTTGACCAACTGCATTAGGTGTAAACATGCCGAGCTACTCGAGCTTGAATCGATGAACATCAAACCCATATGGCTCGATCTTTATAACACTTCGCTTAATGCGAGAACCCCATAAGTCTAATCCTTGTAGGCTCGCTTTTCGATGATACGTATATCAGTACATTCGACATCGACTCATTCCTTAACGATATGTTTAACAAATGTTCTAACGTGACATCGTTTCATACGTACACTTAGGCAGTACTAAATATACCGACACCCTATGTCTGTAACATCTGTTGCGATTTGGAAGCCAGATTTACTGAGAAACCGAGCCCTTAATGTCGGAATATCGAGCCGAACCGAATTAATCTCTATCTGATCGGGCGTGTCACGCGGTAAAGCACAGCTTGAGAAAATTCGAAGTTCGTTCGAGTCCGAGAATTAGACCAAGCAAAAGCATAACTCAGCTCGATTGACACCAGCAGTTGCTGATAAGGATTCCTAGACTTTCACCTTTCTACTCCAGAAAACTCTCGTTCTTTTATGTTTCCGCATGGAGACAAAGGATTAGTTCATTAAGGTCAATACGTGAATTGAAAAAGGAGGCGCAGAAGAATATTAAACTACTGCTCCATTCGTTTCACGGAAAATAACTTCCGGGAAAATAATTTCCGGATTTTCCGATGTTCATTTCACGGAAAATAACTTCCCACGGAAAACATTTTCCTTTCTATGGACAAAATGCCTTCACTTTTGAGATTTCTCCTTTTCAAAAAGAGGAAATCATTTTCCTTCTTTTTTTTTCACCATTTATTTTCAATATTTTCTTTTTCTTTTTTTTTTCCTTTTTCTTCCTCAGCTAGTCGCCGGCCACGGAGGCAACCGGTGACTGGCGAGCTTGAGCCTCGCCACAGGTCAGCGAGGCTCGAGCTCTCGCCGGCCTGTGGCGAGGCTCCCGCGCAGGCGAGCTCGCCCAATCGGCCTGTGGCGAGGCTCGAGCTCGCCGGTCGTCGGCCGCCCCCATGGCCGGCGACCAGCTAAGGAAGAAGAAGAAGAAGGAAAATAAAAAAAGAAAATTATTTTTAATGACTTTTGGGAAAATTAAAAAATATTTTTCAAAACTTTTTCAGATTTCAACCGAACACTGGAAAATTATATCATTTTCCAGGAAAATGATTTCCGAGAAAATATTTTCCACAAACATAACATTTTTCGTGAAACGAACTTAGCCTACGTTTCTGTTAAGCTTACATGAAAACGAAACATATATTTTTCATATTTTCCCATCAAAATTTAAAATATCATGTTGATTTCTTAAAAAAAATCATAAAAAATTTATATGTACATTCTATGAAAATTACGAGTGTTTAAGATTAAAAGAGAAAAGTCGAAAGTGCATGGACCGCGATAGTTTGATTACGTGAAATGTAAAATGTAAAAATCAATCTGGATAGACTCTAAATTATCAAGCGAGATAAAGGCTCCGTTTATTTAGAGAAAAATGAATGATTTAAAAAAAAATTAACTTTTTTGTAACGTCCACGAAAATGTTTAGACATAAACTATTGTCGACAATGAAAAAAATTCCCGCTGACTAATTATTTCAAATCACATAAGCGATCATTTTAGGGAAAATATTTTCCAAATCATTCATTTTTCGTGAACCAAAACGAAGCCGAAAACTTAAACATAGAGAGGAAAATCGATAAACCGTTTAAAATTTTAAGATTATAAATAGTCAAATTTAAAATTTAAGATTATAATAGTCCAATATATTTGTGAAGTGACATTGAGCATCCAACTGTGGACGGCTTGACCCGGCCCACCCACTCGGGTCCATCCCATAATTCCGTCGCGACGAATTAATCGTCAAAAAAATGAGAACCGTTAGATCATCTTCTTCTAATCGCAGCCATTCACTCAAATTTCGCATTTTTCACCCAAAAAAAAATAAACGGGTCACCATAGGTCCGTAAAAGGACAAAAATGACCCTGTTTTTTTAGATGTCTAAGAAATGATATAATAAATTTGTCACGAGTATACCGATTCGGGTTTTTTTACTGGCCAAAAAATTAATTTTGGATAAATTTATCACAAGTGTACCGGTTTGGATCTTTTTGTGGTATTAACCATTTTATTATCGAAGAGATAAATAGATTTGATATTTGCGAAATCAAAAGAAAATATTTTTTGTCCAAGAAAATGGAAGGCAAAGTAGACCTCCCGGTCCACGATCGCCCCTCTCCGATTGCATCTCCTCCACAGGCGCCGCCCTTCCCATGACCACCGCTGGGCTCAGGTCCGAAGTCGGCAGCGGTCGCCGCCTCGGATCTGGTCCAAATCAAAGGTCGGGCCACCTCGGGTGCATGCCGGATCCAGGTCCCGTGGCCACGCACGTGCGTACTATCCAACGACTGGGCCTGAAAGTTTTGGTAAGTCCTAATCGTAATCAATTTCTTTTTTTATTTATTCATTTAACTTTTTTGCAGATTTTTTTTCTCCATCAAATTTATATTTGTTTATTTGGGCGAGCAATCTCTTGCATTAGTAATCTCTTACAATGTGTTTTGTACGAAGAGGTGGGCATTCCATCCCTTTTTTTATTTTTTAATTAAGTGATTGAAATTAGAAATATGATTTTAATTTATTTATTAACATTTGACTTGTACAATAATAGATTTGTAGGAATCAATGTTACATTATATTAATTGTGAATGTCGGAATACTGCATTTAGCACATTAAAGTAATCCAAGAATATTAGATTAAATAAAATATTGATATTGAACTGCAGAATCGATTTATTAGATTAATAAATTTGACTGATGGAATATAAATTTACAATCAAATAAAAAATCATATTAGATGATTCCATATAATGATGATGTACTTTGACAAAAACATAATTTAAGAAAATGCATGTGTGTATATACATATGCATTCCATTCCATCCCCTCAAAAAACTTGTCACGAACAAGCATAAGAATGTCCATTTCATTGACACAGTTTACCAAACAAGGAGATTAATCTCCATTCCAGTCCATTCCATTCGTTTGCAATTCCATTTTCTCATTCCACTGCAGTCTATCGTACCAAATACAACACTAGATTATAACTAATTTGTGCATGCCTAGCATACACGGTGACAAATCACAATTTTTTTTCACAATACTTGAGGTTCGAGGTATGGATCTATCATTTTACCTCAGCTACGCCGTAATTTTGGAACGTCGTTTTGCAAGCATCTCAATCCGAGTGTAAGTTTCACACATTTACAACAATTCATACCGACTTCCGTATCGAAAAGTTCTTTGTAGAAAAGGAATTAACTCGATGGACTTTTTAATAGGCCAGGTGCCGCGTAAAAAGCAGAGTTCACATATACGCAATCAGATTGACATTCAAAAGAATTTCAGTGACAAAATCAACTCTAAATACACGTGTCGCTCATTCAACGGTGAATGTGTAAAAATAATCTTACATGGGCAGTGGACCAAATAATAATCCTTATTTTATCTTTAATTTATCATGACTATGAATGTGTATATAACTCATCCTAGATTCAATTCTCTGAAAGAATCGCCTCAATTCAAGGAGATCATTGAGAAACAAGCAAATGCCAACAGAGAGAAAACAAAACAACATGGAAAGAGACTGGGCCTTTGTTCTTCTTCCCACAGAATGACTGATTCCCAAGAGTCGATTCTTTATACCCCTCTTCAGGCTTAATTGAAAATCCAATACTGAAGCATGCCGCGGCCGCCGGCTTTACAGCTATGAGATCGCGTATCGAAAACAGCAAATGAATTTTCATGTATTGACGATTTTGAAGTGCATCGAAAGAGCATGTACAATGTCACAGCATTTCAAGATAGGAATGATTCTGCAACCGGCAAAGCAAGGCGTGCTTACGTTCCTTAGGACGAAAAATTGGAGGATCAAATTAGTACTTGACAGCATTTGTCTGTAGACCATACTACTTTCATCCTCCTGCCAGAGAACTCAATTTAGCAGTAGCAAGTATGTAAAGATGCTACATAGCCTTCACTCTTTAGGACAAAAAGCTTTACTTACATTTGATTCCAGCTCTTATGGAACACAGAAAAAGGAGAAAAACCGAAAACCATATGATACATTCCGTTTATCGGTGAGTCGGATTCCTTTGAATCAGGCTCATCTACGAACTCGTCGAACTTCCCGACGCTGTCTTCTATTGGCTTTCCAGACATCCGCACCGAGCAGAACGTAGAGAAGAACAAGGCCAACTTGTTTCCTTTCTTCCCTTGCTGAGGCCAGATTAAACAGCCTTTCATAGAGGAAGAACCAAGCTCCTGCTTCGGCCGTGCTTCGAGAAGAGGAACCTCCCGCTCAACGAAAGCGACCTTGTTATCGAGCTGGATCCACTCGCTAGTGATTTGCCGATCGACGAACTCGAACTGCCTATCAATCTCATCGGCAGCTTCTCTTGACTAGCATTCCTCTTGGGGACGATAGCACCGGCGATTCCCTGATTTTCTTCGGCCAATTCAGGACCGGACTTCCTCAGGGATCCTGATTCTCCTCGAAGAGCATTCGCGACCGCAAGACTGAGCTTCAGCGCTGACAGAGAGTCCATCGAAACAGATCTCCTCATCGGTTGCAATTCATTGCTCGAGTCCTCGATTCTCTTCCTTCCATCCTCCAAATCCGATTCGCCATCCTCCTCAGTCTCTCCCCTCAATTCCGCGACTCTTTCCGCTTCTCTCCCCAAACCATCATCGATCTCCTCAATTCCCATCTCCCCCGCAGAGGCAGAACTCTCCGCATTCGGCTGCTCCGGCGGCAGAGCCTGCGCGACGTTAGTGACGATAGGCGCACGGCACATGGGGCAGTTGGTGTGCGATCGAAGCCAAGTATCAATACACGGCACATGGAAAGCGTGGTTGCACTTGGGCAACAGCCTGAGAGTCTCATCTTCTTCAAACTCACTCAAGCAAACAGAGCACTCTGCCCCTTCGATCAGCCCCTCCCCCTTCTTGTACTTACACACCGTGATCGCGCTGATGACCGACGGCTGGAGGCCGACGGTACGGATGTACCAGATCGGGTGGTCGATGACCGGCCCTTGATCATGATCGAGAAACTCGTCATGGATGACGTTCGTCTCCGGCTCCTGCAGTCCCCTGCTTCTCGGCCTGGACCGATTCAAATAATACCTCACGTACAGCGCGTAGCCCACGACCAGGACGAAAAGCGCGGCGAGGACGGCGAAGAGGGTGATCAAGATCGGCGACAAGTGGTGGTATCTCTTCCCGTATTCGTTGAAGGAGGATTCCTCCGGCGGCGGCGGCGGAGGGGGGAGCGGGATCATGGGATAGCGGCAAACCTCGGGACAAAGGGGCAGACACGGTGTGATGCAGAACCCTCCCGAGTCGTTGAGCAGAGGATCGCAGAAGGGTTGGCAGAGCACCGAGATGGTCCGGTTGATCGGGTCCGAGGACTGCATGTGCCGGAGACGGTGCAGCGAGCCCATCATCACGGAGGAGGAAGGGGCTATGGAGGAGGGCTCATGCAGGGGTTTGAAGAGAGAGAAAGGGCATGAACAAGAGACAGAGAGAGAGAGACAGAGAGGGGGTTTGGGTTAGATTGAAGTGGTCCTGGTTTGATGAAGGAGGAAGGAGGAGATTGGGGAGGAGATGGACAGGCCAACCAACATTAAAGGAATAAGGGTGCGTTTTGTTAAAGCTTTGAATGTTGAACGTGAAAACGTGGAGTGGAGGAGAATATCAAGCTGCTCTTCTCCTCTTTTCTTTTCTTTTGTTATTGTCCCTGCGGTTTCTTCTTTGCTCAGCCGCTTGTTGTTGACTGCCCGGTGGTTTGATTTTTTTCGGGCGACAATGACGGCTGGTGAAAATAGGGGGGACTTGGAGGCGGGATGGATAGGTCGCTTTCCCTTTTTTTAATCGCCGGACGTGGCGGTCCAGTCGTGAAGGCGCCGCTCCTATCTGTGTTTCCACGGGACCACGCGAGCTCGAAACCCGATATGCTATCGAGCCGGATCGCTTGCGGAAGATCGATCTTCGAGTTGGGACGTCGTGTCGGCAGGGCTGCTGCAGTCGCGAGCTCAACCTTCTCGAAATCCCGATTTTAGGGATCCCTCTAGGGTCGAGACTTCACCGATCAGAAATTATAGCTTAAACCGGATATTATGCGGCAATTGCGAGATTTCTAAGGTGAGAGCCGAATAGGATTGCTTAAAGATTTAAATTTTCCTACACATTACTTTAAAAGATTTGAGAACGAAGATTTCAGTTTAGCATTTTCTTGCTTAATGCCTCAAATATCTACATGCATAGTCATTTGAAAACTTTTCGTATTATATTCGAAGCATTAATCTTTTTTTCTAGGGGAAAAGAAAATTTTGAGAAAAAAAGCAAAAAGTAATTCTTTGTCCGAAGGAAAACCTCAAAATGTCTCTTGCTTGGTGAAGGCCAAAGAAAGCCCTAATCTTTTGTACATGGAACGAAAAATAACACGACATTTTAGAAGTAAAATAATAAAAAAAAAAATCAACATTTTACAATTAAAACAAAAACCTTTCAACGTACCAAAAAAGTCCAACCTTTCACTGGTAGGATAAAAATTGTGCGTTCTCATCGTCAAATTGTCACGTGTCTTCTTACGTGGCTCACAAATAAGTTTAGAAAAAAAAACGTGAAGTTGTTTATTTGTACAAAATAGAAAATTTTTGTTAACAAAGATTCTAAAAATTGAGTATAGATCGTAAATTAAAATGGATTTCGTTTTTGTGTTGGTTGACATGACTCACTGTACATGTAAGCATAGTGCTCCGCGTAGGATGACAAATGGCGATTTAACAATAAGACTTGGGAGAAAGACTTGGCTTTTTTGGGAGATTTAAAAGCTTGTATTATTTTGGTTCTAAGCGTAACAATTTAGGGCATGTTTCTTTGGACTTGATTAAAGCAAAATATACTTTTTTGCTTGACCGCCAAAACTCGAAATGTTATTCAAATTTTGGCAAAATATCAAAAAAAGAATATACATGTAAACTTACCCGTCAATATTTGAGTTCTGTAAAAGTTTCGGAAGTTTCGAATTTTATAAAAATTTTAGGGTACGCGAGCTGCACGATATGAATAAAGCAAAGAACAACCGAAAGAAAAGGTAAAAGTCATTCCTAGACAGGTCCGTTAAAGTCTCGGAAGTTTCGAATTTGAAGAAAAAATTTCAAGTACGCGAGATGCAAGATATGAAAAAAGGCAAAGAACAACAAACAGAGGGAAATTAAAAGTCATTCTTGGACATGCCCCTAGGTTTAATTTTTCTTCTGGGCAATTTGAAAGTCACGTCATTTTTGTCTCGAGTCTAAACAATTGGTTTCCTTTTGTTCTTTCTTTTTTTATGAGAGTTGGCCGCCGCCAGTTAAGAAGAACGTAATTGTGCAATTTTGTCAAGATTCGAATCACGATCGCAATAGCTGGACCGCGCAAAAGCCATACCGAAACCAAGGGTGAAGCAATTTGCGAATTGTAAAGTATAGGTTAAGGAGCTGGCCCCATCATATTTCCGTTCATTCTTTTCAACGCGATGACCACATGGTCTAAGAGTCTAATAGGAAATGATTTAAAGGGAAAAAGTCACTGAAAACCCTAAATTATGCGTGCCGCGACATGTTTATTCTAAACTTTTTTTCATGACATCAAAAATCCCAAACTTGTTACATGCATGACATGTTTATCTTCCCTCAAAGTTCTGCCAATAAGAATCGTTAAAAACTTGCTTGTATGGACGCTAGATAGCAAACAGTATTGATATGGCGTCCACGTGATTTAAGTGAAATAAAAACGATATTGTTTTGACTGAACAATAATTTAACGGAACATTGATGAAGAGTAAATGTGTCACATAAGTAGAAGGCTGGGATTTTTATATGTCGCGAGAAAAAGGTCAAGGTAAACGTGTCACGGTGGGTATAGTTTGGGGTTCTTAAATGTCACGAGAAAACGTTCAGGGTAAATATGTCGCGGTGGGCATAATTTGAGATTTTTTGTAGCTTTTTTCCTAATTTAAATAATCTTAGAGAAATAAATAATTCCATAAAATATCCCTTGGTGGGGGGCAAGTTCAAGTGGACTTGTTCTTGGATTATATACACATTAGCTGTTCTTTGTTCTTATTTTAGATAATATCGTTTAATTCGAATTACATCAATCATAGTAGATTGAATAATCGCTATATCTAATCTAGCAAAAGGCCACAATTACATGAAAGAAATTCAATAAACCTCACGTACTTCAGGCACTATATGTATGTTTGCTTTGTCTATTTTCTCCTTTCATCCGGGGAAAAAGAGCACACGCGTTGTATGTGAATGGATATTGTGGAAAATATTAAATTTATGAAGAAATAAAATAGCGTGTAAAGATTTTTGATGCGTTTTTTCTGTATAATCATACCAATGGTCATGAAAGGGAAGTGTGAGATATTTATGAAATATTTGATGGTTAAAGTGATTTCGAATTTAGAATGTAAGATATTCTTTTGATAATTGCTATGAAATCGGTAGCAATATTTGGATGGGAAAATATCGAGATTATAGTGAAAATTTGTGATTTTTTTTATAAAAAAATTCGAGGTAAAATTGAGATGTGACTTAAAGTTAATGATTTCTTTTTATATAGAATCAAGCCAAGAAAAAGACAGACACAATCAAGTTTTTATATCGGTGCGAGAGGTGTCGACTTCCTGCACTTTGTGGGGAAAAGAAAAGTGACTTGTTTCGCTTGGCACACCTTTGCCACACTTTGTTGGGCGAAAATAAATAAAATAAAATAAAAACGAAGACTAACAAAATGATAAGTTTCTTGGTTGACCGAATCTGTACGAAATTTGAGTGGATTGGATTCACAAAAAATTGAAAACGACAAGTCTCGCTAGCTACCAATCTCAACCACCCCAATTTATGATGTTAGGTTATGAATATGAATATTATTCGCTTTTAATTTTAGTCGAATTTGCATTTGGGCGATATCTATAAGTCATAGCTCGTCGATCAGAGCCATGTTGTCCACAACTTTCAGTCGTCTAGTGACAAGCGACAGAGGTGGTACGACGACTACAGTTGGTGGTTGTGGGTGATTGATGCGAAGAAAAGGAGAGGTTGGAGTGAGAAGCTAAGATTTGTGTTGATTTAGCGATTTGCACATCCGTATAATGTAACCAACTATTTGCATACACTTTTTTGCTAAAATTTTTTAGGCATAAGGATACAAAAAATATCGGTGAGACTAAGCTCGCAGAGTTGAGGGACGAATATGGTGCGTATATAAAGATCGAAGGCACGTCGGGTATCTAAGGATAATTTTGTATGAATAAGGCATCGCAGTATGTTTTAACTCTTCCCTCTCTCTTTTTCCCTCTCAACCAGCAAGCAGTGGGGTTGCCGACAACCACACCCTAATATCGACCACTTGCCAAGATCCACCATCTACATTTACACCCAGATCACGGCGATCGACCACCACCGCTACTTCATCGTCCACAAGCGCCCACTAGCTACCACAAGCACATCGGCCCTCGCTCTTGACCCGTCGCTATTGGCCCTAGTGCAGACCACCGAGGGTAGCATGTTCGAGGGCAGAGCTCGGAGAGAGAATGGAGAGAGTTGTAGGGGCATTTAGGCATGTCACGCGTCTCTTTTAATTTCGGTGTTAAACCATACAAAAGAGAGTCAATTCACTTATCAAACTAAATAAAGCAAATACTTATTCTCACCTTTTGCATTGTACCCGAACACCAATTACATCACAATTTCTATCTTGTTGCTATGAACAGTTGATGAGCACGACTTTGTCAAAAGATGGACAAAAAAGCTTTGAAATCTATTTCCTCACGCAATCATTTGTTTACATAAAGGTGTCTTATTGCCTTGCTGGTATGAAAAGGATTGTTTTTGGTCAACCATAATGCATTAATAATTCCTTCATTTGCAGTTTCTGCATGATTTCCGATTGTACCATTATATCACACTGAAGGGATGATTCGTCAAACACTACACTTAAAAGCTTCGAGCATCATGGCTGTGGGACACCCGGACATGTGATTGTTGCCAATTGGAAATTGATTGAGTAAAGAAAAAAAACGTGGCGGTGGCAGCAGAACCAGTCGCAGTTCTGAAGTTTTATATGCAGGTCAAGAACACCTTAAATGAAAAAACCAAGGGCCAAGAACTAAAAAATCTGTAAAGCGACATTGGAATAACTCTTAATATTAGGTAGGGGTAATCGGCTCGCGGGTGGGTCGGTTCCCAACCTAGAAACTGAAAAGCGATCCTGTGATTACTGATTCCGAAAAATTGAAATCGGGAGCCGGTCCAATTTTTGTTTTGTTCAAAAAATAGGTTCTTTATAATAAAATATTATCGTTGCGCCATTTTACTAGAAAAACATATATAGGTCGAGTGGTTATATTGTTTATTCATGTTGAAGACCATGGTTTGATTCTCCATATGTGCAAAAGCCATTTTCTTTGTAATATGTTATACATATTTACCACAAATAAAATCCTTCAACCATATTTGGGACATTATTACCACGAAAATGAATTTTTTTTTAGCAAAATCC